TTTTTCACGAGCTAAAAAAGCGGATTGGTACATGGCTTTGAACACCAAGGCTTGTTTAGTCTGAAACAGCATTCTTTTTTCTTCAAATTAGCGAAATAAAATTTTTGGGCAAGTGAAATCACGAGCGCTAAAAACGGGCGAAAAACGTGACCTCTGGCCGAAGCACAACCAAATGCGAATTACGGTAGGCGCCAAACCTTTAATTATTCGGTAACTTCTCGAAACAATATTGGTCCCAAATGTGTATAGGTTTTTTTAAAATAAAGCTGAGTTCAAGTGTTAAGTGTCAAAAAGTCCACAAAGCGGTAAAAAATACACAAAAGTCACGAGTAATCTGTTCCGTTTTCTGGATTTTATGCAGCGATTTATGCGATTTAACGAATAAACAATTTTTACTGAATCAAACGATACCCACCTGAGACTGTGTTAGTTTAAGAGTCCATAGAACCTCTCGGAAGATTCCTCGGAAAGACCTCCAGGAGGAAATGAATGAAGAATTTGAACTTATAACTGTAACAATTTCACTTGCCGCCACAGCAAAACGAAAACAACTGTCGAACTGCCACAGGCAGTCATGCAAAGCATGTCACGTTATGTAATTATGCCCCGCGCATTTGGGAAGGATGGAAGAAATTCTTCCATGCTGAGCGCTAAAACATTTATGAAATAAATCTAGCTTTGGACTGTACCTTTTGTAACTAGTTAAAGAAAAGAATAACTTTTTCCCCTGTTTTTGCTCGAGGGGCTCTGTGTACTTCTTTTATTTTATCTGCTGTTTATAATGATTGTGTTTCAAGTTCAGAACGTGCATCTGTAGCTAGCAATTGCAGGAGCCTACCAAATGGGGCCTCCATCTCCCATACAAGCCCTAGCTTGGAGCCAACCCTTTCCCGAGTAGATTTATAATTAGAACGGTTCCCAAGGGAGGCTTCGCGCGCCGACGGTGGGAAGAGCCAATCACAACGACGAAATGACACTGCTATTGTACTTCATCAAGCAACAGAAAATTTGGTGTTGACAGGCCAAACAGAATCATAAGCTAGTAAAACGTGACTTTAGCGTTTTCGTCCCTCAGAGATTTTCTTTCTTTTCTTTTTAGCCGGTAGATTATACTGTGGAGAGTTTTAAACTCTGACTATGTTAATCTTAATTTTGGCTGCTTGTCTCACATTAAGAGACCATGAAGCTGGTCTGTTAGATGCATAATGATTAACAACTACCAGACTTGCCAACCCGCAAAACTTCAAAAGGCAAAAAATGTGAGATTCTGAACCAAGAGCTGGAAAAGGTAGTGAGAAATGGGTAAAAAGTCGTGAGATGTCCCAAATTTTTCTCTGTGGGATTATGGGTATTGAAAGTCACAAGCTGGAGCAGTAAACATCACGGTTTTACGATTTGGGTTGTGTAATTTCTCTGTTTTGTTGGCGGCCATCTTGAAACAAGAAAAACATTTAGAAGTCTGCTCATTTGGTGGCAGCGGCAAGTCGCGGTAGGCTAAAAGAATGTAATCAAATGCAGCCGGTAAGCGTTTTCCTTGGATTGAGCTGGTTATCTATTGATATCTAAATTGGAAACGAGCCCTACAGCTCCAAAATTTTTTTGGAGTTTGACTTTTCGAGAAAGCTTAAGAAATCAGTTGCAAACTCGTGAGAGCATGAGATAGGTCGTGAAATCGTGAGACTCACGACAAATTCGTGAGACTTGGCAAGTCTGAACTACCCGGCAGTCTGTATTTCTGACAGGATTCGTTTTCTTTAGCCAATTTTTTTAAGCGTTAAGGTTATTATTTTGGCTAAATGACTCAATATTAATCAAATTTCTAGTTTTTCAAGTTTTTTTTTTCCGAAATCCGTTTATCTGAAAAAATACTTGTAGTCCTTGTGGTTATTTTGTCTGTCAGCTAGTGTGATGATTCCCTGCTATGTTTTGTAACGCCGGGCCCAGCTATTTAACATTGTTTTCTCGCGAAAAGTGACCTACAGATGCGAATTCGAAGGAAAGAATTGAGCTTAAACGTCTACATTAACTGCTGAGAATTGTCCTGTTAGTCAGTCATAATTCTTTTGGCGCATATACAATCCATTTTGTTTTTCTTGAGACAAGTGGGTCTTTGGACTGAAGCGCGATGTCACAAATTCCTCCGTTAGCAAATTACTTTTGAGTTAGCTTCACGGTCGAGCTACTGTTGTCTTCTGTTCAACTTTTCAAGTGCCAGTTTTATCAGGCAACTCTCATGGTGATGCGAGTCAGTTGTAGAGGAAGACTGCAATTTCTCAAAATTCGGAAATAAAGCATTCCTCGTTAGTTGCTACTTAGGTCATTGCTTTTGCAAGCGGTGCTTAACTGGCGAAATCCACTCCACGTAAATCATGATCCTGGCACTTTTTCGGCGCTGATCATCGAAAAGTTCCAAATCGTCCACAGAACGCTTAATCGTCGACTCTTTTCGAAGTGCATGCTTACATGTGGAATGTATGACGACAAATAAAAACACTCGCAAAGATAACCTTTCAGTGATCCTCAATTCGCTGCCTTTGTCCCATCGCTTCATGCTCAGTTTCAGTCGGGTAATTCATTAACTTTTATTTCATGATACCCAGATCCCAGCGGCTGTAAAATCATAAAAATGGACGTATAGTAAAAAGGAAAACGGTCGAAGGATGGACTGCTGAGTTCGACTTCATCCAACTTCATTTTTTTCACGGTGACATACGAGACTCACGGAAATGTGACACTTTTCGCGGGAAACAAACCGTTCTATTTATAAATCTACTCGGGAAAGGGTTGACTCAAGAAATTAATGGAGATGGAGGCTCCATTTAATGGGCTCCTGGCAATTGGTGTGTTTGAATTACCGAATGCTGTAGAAAGNAAAACCCCCCCCCCCCCCATCAGACCTGATACTTCTTTGAGACTAAAATCCTTACAACGATAGGATTGTATATCACTGTTTAACTGGCTGAATTTTTTTAATGAAACGCGTGTTGTATTTTGCCACTAAATTAAATTCCAGGGATATTCAAGAATGTGATTGTCTTTGGGTACCCTCCTATGATCTGTTCGCCTCCGCTCGCAAAGCAGTATTTCCCGCGCTAACGGCGACTGGCTTTCACAGATTGAGAAACACTTAGTCGTCTCTGCCGTCTCAGTGACTAGTGGGAGAGGGTGTGGGGGAAAAGTTATTTGCCACAAAAAAGTTCAACAGTCCTTTCTGAACCAAAATTTTGACCTCCCCCCCCCTCCCAATGAAAACGTCCTGGATTTTCCCCTGCAAAGGGGTTACTCTGAGTTCGGAGCCAATCAAGGCTTATGCTGGCGCGTGTAAGTAAATCAATTCTTTTCGAGTTAAGAGACTTACTTGTAGGACGAAAAACAGTATAATTTTATCAGGAGCCTATCAAATTTGTGGGCTCCTGAATTTTATGTAATGTGAAAATTGTACCAGTACATGTGTATCCTAGAGGAACAAGAGACATTTGTTGCGAGCCTTTCGAATAATTGAACGTACAAATAACTTTGAAAACATCAAAGAAATGAATGAACAATTTCGTTTTCTGCTCGTTCTTTCTCAATTAGAACGATGGTGTCTGTTGTCCCGCAATACCATTCCTTGTCTTCTCACATTGCGACCCGCTGTACTGTTGTAACTGATCCTATTAAATCGCCGAAAATGTCTTAAAAACTTGTTCAATCACCTTAAGAATTTAGATCATAACGCTCATTCGGTTTGAGTGACATTTTAATAACCTGGGTCGTCTCCGATGACCTTTCGTTAGAGGTCAAATTACAAAATTCGTTAACGCCGGCAGACTGTGAAGCTCGAGCGTAGAAAAAGTTAAAAAAGTGCTTCATACTATAAAGGTAAGTTAATACCAATTGTATGTTGGCAAATTAATTATCGTACTATAGAAGTACGTCAGATTTCTTCTCAGGAAGCGCCACCAAGGCCAATGATCCGTTTGGGCAACAGCAAGGCGTGCGCAAAACATGGGTCTCCGATCACTGGAAAATCATTCATTATGTACCTGCCTCATATTTCACTCCAAATTTGTTCAAGTTGAGAAGGTTCGTCTGAAACGCAAATTAAATTATTCAAGCCGGTTTTTACATATGTTTTAGCACAATGTTTAAAGTAGTAAGGGAAATAAGTATCTCACCTCAACTCACAACTGATTTCAAATCCACTCAAAATGACAAGGATTTAATAGAAACTCAAAACGTACAGGATTTCAGCTCAAATAAAAAACCTTCCAAATTTCCTGATTATGTAAAAGACTATAAAAAAGAATATGTTTTTTATTAGGTATTGATGAAGCATTTTGGTATTTATTGAAAGGTATAGGATTTAGTTTTATTGGATATGAAAGTTTAAAAAAAAGTAAGCAGTTGGATTGATAAAATATATATTTATATAAAAAAATATAAACAAGGTTTAGATTATGGTATACTTAAAGATTTATCAGAAGAAGAAATAAATATTGAAGCTTTTTCTAATATAGAAAGTGTTGAACAGATTGTAGGTGAACATTTAGATCGATATTCTTATATTGATAAAAATGGTAATTATAAAATAGATAAAAAAAAATATGAAGATAATATTGACAAAGATTTTCCAGGATTAAGAAAATTAGTTGATACTTTATGTTATTATGATGAAGTAATTAAGTATAAAAAAACATTTAATTTACTAGATAGTAATATTAATGTTAATGATTTTGATACTGATAGTGATAGCGAAAGTGATAGTGATAGTGATAGTAATGATTATTACAGTAAAGAAGAATTAAAACAATTTTTAAGTTTTACAAATGGTCTTGATAGTGATAGTGATAGTGATAGTGATAGTGAAAGTAATAATTTTAATACAAATAGTATTATTGGTTATAGTGATAGTGATAGTGATAGTGATAGTGATGAATAATTATATTTATAGTATAAAACCTTTAGTCTTATACCAAACACTGATATAAGACTTTTTTTTATCTAAATAAATAATAAATATGGAATCACCGATTGATATTCCAACAAAAGAAGACAAAGATTTTATTGTTGATGATGGTTATAATCCTGATGAAGATCCAACATATGAACCTAATGATTCTTCATCATCTGATGATGATAAATATGTTGTAAAAGGAAAAGATTTTAAAAAGCTTACTAAAAAAGCTAAAAAACCTGGTGCTGAATCTCTTAATTATTCAACTCGCAAAAATAATAAATATGTAGCAACACTTCCAGGTGGAAAGAAAATTCATTTCGGGTCATCACAATATCCTGATTATCTTATACATAAAGACAAAGAAAGAAAAGATAAATATCTAGCTCGCGCTAAAAAGATTAAAAATAAACAGGGAGAGTTAACTTATACTAATCCTGGATCGAGTAATTTCTGGAGCATAAATTTACTCTGGCCAGAAAAATAAAATTGATTTTTTTTAAAATATGGCTTAAAGATTTAACAATTATTAATAAAATGCTACTTACTAGTATTCAAGATTTAACCCCCAAAGTATCATCTTTAATGAAGCGAAAGAGTATAATGTCAAAGATTCGAAAATGAAATACAAAAGAATTCCTATCGAAACAGTTTATCCAAATGGAAAAAAAGGTAGTTTAGTTATTAAAACTCCATTTCCTTTTTCTTTTGGGGTAAATGAAAAGAAAGACCAAAATACAAACAAGTTAGTAGGTTATAGCATTCCAGTTTGCTTATGGGAAAAAGATGGCAGCCCAAATTTGAAGGAAGAACAATTTTATAAATTTTTATGCAAACTTACAGAAATTTGTCAAAAATATTTGGAAGAAGAATATGGACCTGATCTTGCTTCTTCTTTATCTGAACCATTATACTATAAACAGATTGAATATACAGACAAAAAAGGCAAAAAGAAAACAAAGAGAGATAGTTCAGCTGCACCAGTTCTTTATGCAAAACTTATTTACTCGGAAAAACTAAAAAAAATTCTTTCACTTTTTCATGTGAAAGGTAAGAAAAAAGTAAATCCTTTTAATTATCTTAATCAGTATTGTAATGTCAAAATGGCTTTGATTATTGAAGGAATATTTATTAGCAAAACTGTTACATCATTACAAATTAAAGTACACGAGTGTTATATTAAAGAATTAAAACCAAGAGAGTCTTTGTTAACAATTGAAGAGGAAAGCGAAGCGGATGTAGCAAGTGAAGAAAAATTAAAAGTAAGTGATAGCGAAGCGAGTGAAGCAAGTGATACTGAGGAAAATATTGAAGATTTAGCTATTTCAGATAAAGAAGTAACTGAGTAATATTAGGATTTATTTTTAATACAAATTTTGTATTAAAAATTAACCAGATCCTTAGAACTCACCCATGAGTTAAATTTATCAGGATATCCACTCCATTTTACTAATGACATTTTCTTTTTGCTATCTCGTTTGATAACCTTTTCTATTCTAAATGTCTGCTGTTTTGCTTTCTGTAATTCTTGCTCGTAAAAAGAACCCTTAATCTCTTCTCCTGTCAAATCAACAATACTATACGTAACAGGTTTTGTTGGGTTAACTTTATCAATTACAAATATCTCCTCTGTCCAGTTTGGTGTGTAACCTTTATCAAACACCTTTCTCTTATACTTAGAAATTCTAACTTTGTCTCCAATAGAAAACTTTGGTTTACCAGGTTTAAAGTAAATCAAATCGCCGTACAAATTAGCCCAAACTTTATTCTCATTTTTCTTTTTACTTGCTTCAACAGGAGTCATTTTAATGCTAGAATGTCTCACATTATTGTAGTAATTAACCAGTTTATCTATCTTATCCCAGTAAACCGTGTTGTTATTCACAGTAAACATTTTCCACATTCTGTTTTTCATTGTTTTATTCCATCTCTCAACAACACTAGATTTTTTTTCATTTTCAGTGTGATACAGCGTGATTCCCTCTCTCTTTAAAAACTCTTTAAAATGTTTACTGATAAACTCAGAACCTTTATCAGTCCACAACATCTTTGGAAGCCGTTTGCTTGATTTAAATATGTCATCAAACGCTTCACTAACAGTTTCAGTTTTCTTGTCTTTTAATCCCCTAATCCATCCATACTTGCTAAACACATCTATAACCATCAACAAATATTTAATCCCTTTATTCCACTTACTAAACTTTTGCATTTCAACTAAATCAGCAGCCCAGATATCATCAATCCCGTTTGACATCACTGATCTCTTTTGAAAGTTTCTTGTGATTGGTTTGTGAAGTTCGTCGGCTAATTGTTGAGACCAATCACTACTTCTCAACGCCGACTCGCGTTTTTTTGAAGACCAAGTCCAAGTTTTTGTTTTTCATTAATCAAGAATCTAGCAGTTGAGTCCCACTTTGGCATTTCACCATATGGTATCTCATCCAATGATTGTACCATCTCTCTATCGCAATCGCCTTTGTTTCTTCCCATGCCATAACAAATGTCGTGATAAGCTGCAATCTCATCAACTTTGTTATACGGTTTAACTTTCCACTCTGTCACTTCTCTGGTTTTAGGATTATAACTTAATTGTTGTTCGAGAGGATTGTAGGGACCCATATATTTATACGGACCTGGAGTCCATCCTGCTTTTGGTTTTGGTAATTTTCCAATCCATTTGTGAACATCAATTCCTTTTCCACTCCTTCGGTCCAATTCTGGTCTTTCAGTTTTATATTTCTTTTTTTGGTCTCACTTTTGTTGATAGTTCATCCGTTGCTGATCCAACAGAATCTTGAATAAATGGAGTAAGTTTACTAATCCCATAATTTACAGCTTTCTTTTGAAGATTTTTATTTCTCATTAACTCACTTGCTCCATATCGCCCCATTTCAACTGCTTTTTTACCCATCCAAGGTAAACCGTAATGAACAAATCCATCACCTGCTGTACCAACAACAGTATCAATAACGCCCGCCCCTTCAGACGGGCTATCTAGTTTTTTGTTCCCGTTTTGACATATCTAACTTTTTTATTTCCACAAACAGCGCATTTGCAAAAGAACTGAGTTCTACCACGCTTATCTTTCTGGTAACCACTTGGCTCTGTACAAGGAGTTACTCTTTTATCTACAATGCAATATGATTCTTTCATTTAGTATAATGATTATATAAAATGGAAGCCGAATTTTTTGCTGAAATAGAAAAAAAGATGAATGTAAAAACACTCAAAGATTATGAGAAAGAAGTTCGAAATAAAATAAATAATGAGTTTGAAAGTCTGCGAAAAACAAATTCGGAACTTTCTAGAATATTAACTAGTGGTGAATGTGAAATCTGGGAAAAAATTAGAAATGGTAATTATTCCTATGGTTAAAAATAAAGAGCGATAAGAAAAAGAAACTCTTTAGACTTATTGATATTTACTTAAACTTTAATGATATAGTTGATAATGTTAAAGAATTAAATAAGAAAGTTGATGAAATTAAAAAGCTGAAAGACTCACCAGAACCAATGGATGAAGACTAATTTTTAATACAAATATTGTATTAAAAATGCAACATAGCCAAAATTAACCTCATTCTTTTAAAGGGAGGTTGGTGAAATACGCCTTTATAAAGTCGCTGTTGTCACTATCAAAATGTGGATTATGTATTACATCTAGAATACTAGTACCTTTTTGTCGCTCAAACAGATAATATAAACACCAGTAACCACACAATACAGTACTGCGATTTTGTATTTCATCCATTGAGTAAACTATTTGTTTTCTAGCTGTTCGAAAATACACCAGTGCTTCATTTGGCATTATCAAACCAAATGGATCGAAGTACTCCACCACTGAATCTATATTTCTGTAACAAACCCAGTGTGTTCCAGAACCTTGAGTATCATCGAGATTGATTATTCCGCATTCTTTTCTAATCTTTCTCGGTAGTCCATCACGACTATATATTCCTCTGAAATGCTTAATACCAAGTCTTTTTACCCAATCCATGAGGTCAAAGTTGGATAATGGTTTAATTACAAAATGGCCCCTATTAATGGAATTGAGTTGAATGGGCTGTTTTTTCCTAGTAGTAGTCCTTTTACCTTGGACTTTTTTTTTTAAACTCCCATTCCTATTGGGTTTTCCCATGTACCTAAAAAGGATGGTGGGTAATAAGGATAACCTTTACCACTTCTATGAGGCGGTGGAACGTAAACATTTGCTGTATTAGAAGATGCATGTCTATCAACCTGAAGCCCAGAGCCAAACATTTTTTAGACTAAACTAATAGCCATTGGAATTCCAATAGATGCAAGAGTTCCAAGAAATCCTCCTTCTATTTGCCTACGAGTTGGTTTTATAACCAATCGACCACCTGTTTTATAAGCTTTGTTTATTTGGTCTCGTTGTGATTTGGTAAATTCTCTTACAAGAGGTGGTAACATTGGGAAAAACTGGGGGGGAATTGTAATTCCTTTTCCAAATATTGTATTTATTCCAAGTTCTCCCAAAGCAGTAGCAGCACCAGTTGCCAATGCAGGAACAGCTTTTGAAATTCCTTTTACTGCATATGGTAGTACTCTTGCTCCAAGAGATGCGAGTGAAGTAAATAAGTTTCCACCATGTTTTACTGAATGTCTAATCTGAGTTTTACTTATTTTTATATCTGATCCTGTGCCATTTGCAATAGATTTTTTTATTTTAGCAATTTGTCTTTTTGTCAGCATTAAATCATCAGAACCTCGAAGATGAGAATGTTTTAAACGAAGAGTTAGTGGTGATTTATTTATTATTGCAGAAGCCAGTTTTGACTTTTGCCCATCTGTAAGTGTTACACCATATTCAAAGTAAGTAGTCATTTATTTATAGAATTATATTAAATCATATGTAGCGTAGCAAATGGAGGGGTGCTTCAAAATTAACTTCATTCTTATAAAGGGAGGGGTCTATGCTCGAAGTAAAAGTTTTCCATCTTGTTGTGATATTTCTGCTATTCTTTCATGTAAGACTAATGCGTAAATATTATAATCAGCGTTTGGATTAGCAGATAGTTCGTAATGGAATGCCAATTTTGTAACACCATCTTTAATATCCATTTTTTGTTTTGTCAGGTCAAAATAAACAAAAGGAAATAAAGATTTGAAATTACTTCTATTAAGTAATGTTCCACCTTGATAATCATTATTTGCATAAACATATGACATTACATTTCTAAAAACTCTTGACAAATCTGTAGAAGGTTTAAAGTGAATATCTGGATGTTCGTTTCCATTTGCAACTTCCAGGTAACATCTTGATATATTAGCAGTATTTGGCAGATTAAAGTGTCGTATAAAAATGGATTTGCTGTTTGTGAATCAATTCTTGCTGTGTTAATTCCAAAAACAAATACATGGCATGGTTTTGAAATAGCATTTGTAATTCTAAATTGTCCTGTCTGTTGCCGTAAATTATTTGACCTTTGAATTTCTTCATTCAAATATGTCCATTACATTCCAA